AACTGCTGGTGTGCACTCACCCATCCACAGGCCTACAAACCTGCAGCCTGACAGCCACACCTGCGGTGCTCTGGGACCACTTGGCTGTTTCAACAATCATTGCCATCATAGGAACCGGAGATAATTACACAGCTTCCACCCACCAGGCTGGCCTGCTTCACTAAAACCGTATTGCTCCTGTGCTGCAATAACACTTGTCTAAATGAATGCACGGCACTTTACTGCACGACTGACAGCGCCCATTTATTCTACCGTCCAACTGGAAAGAAAAAACAAATTCATTTGGCACTTAAGGCCCCCACCCCTGTGAATAATGTATCACCCTTCCCTCAAACCGCAACCCCCACACCCAAATCACCACCATTATTCAACCCTCTTTTTATGATTCCCAGTTTTGAGTAACGCAAGTGTTCAATTAAAGCATATCACATTTATACAGAAAGAATCACTGGTGTTTGATCTCAATCTGCTCACATCAACATTACCATCAATCTTGAATAATAATTACACTAGTCTAAAACTAGCATTTATGCACCTTCCTCACGTTAAATACAGTGAAAAGTGTCCATCTGTCATACTCAAATTGCATATTGTACTTTTAAAAAAACATCAATTGATCTACACATTTTTCAAAATCAAGTGAATTATCTTTAATTCTGTCTTTTACAGGTTCATGTGTTTGCTAGCCAGTCTCTTTGTTCACTTCACACCGTTTAGTTTATGGCTGGGTGTCGGAATAACAGATCTCTAACAATTATCACTTGTGCACCCAGATCCCAGTAACACCTCTCCTCCTCCCCTAGGGGAGGACAGACGTTGGGCTTTACACTCTCATGTGCCCCATTATATTTATGCAAATGTGACTAAAATCAGGGGGCATCCTTTCCTGTAAGTGCTAATTAGCAATGAATGAAATATTGCATACATAATGCATGAAGTCCCTCTCAGTGCAGCTATACATTGTGACCTTGAACACAAGGCCAAGTATTGGTTGAAGAACCAGGAATGTTTCATTTTAATAGTAGAATAATAATCATTTGTCATCTTCCGACTGAGTTCTGTCAGAAAATGACAAATTATGAAATGATCTGCAGTTATTTTAAAAAATGTCACAATCTTAGGAAAGCGTCTTCTTGAATCATTGTCCGGGAACATATTACTTAAAAGGCTAACACACAAGAGAGCCATCCCGACTGCAAAGAGATCTATTAATATCATAAGGCTACAGCCTGCCAATGAATCAGGCCTCTTAAAAGAGCCAAACAGCAGGAGGGAGACAGACCGGCACACAGGTGTGCCACATCACATCCAAGACTGCCACTCTGCTCCCGAGAGCTAGTAAATGGTATTTTCTCAGATCCCATAAAAGGGGCTGCATTAAGATAACAATGTTGAAAAGCAATTATTAAAGAGCAATAAAGTATGTTTAGTACCCTCTCCAGGCAAGTGGCACTCATATTTTTTGAGTAACTGAGCTGAGAAATGAGGCCTGTGGCCCCACGGCTATCTGCAGGGCTCCATGGGTAAGAAGAAATTATTAAGAAAAGCAGATGTTAATATGTGCCCGGATAGGGTTACATCTTTGATGAAACAAATAACTTGTTAAGCTATAATCTTGCTTTTTAATTGAGGTTAGTGATAAGCTTAAAAGTGTTTTTTCTAACATAAATACTTGAAAGCGGATACAATGAGCCTCTAAGATGTAACGTCAAAAGTTTCAATGCCAGAAAATATAGGGAATTAAATCCAGTGTAGCTCAGTGACTAATCCATTGAAGATAATATTATTTTGTATAATAGGAGTCAGAAGTGTGTGGAGTATTTACTTGAAGGGGTGAACTTGTATCATATAACAAAGTTTATATGTTACATGCTACAAGTTCAGGATTTGGAGTGTTTAGTGAATATACTGTGACTGGATCCTAATTGATAATACAATTTGAAAACTTAGTAATGAAGTATATGTAGGGAAAATCATCATTGTACAGTATATCCATAACAATAAAGGATAAACAAACAAAATCAATGGCTGTTGTCATGACGATACTGAAACATTTATTCCCTAAAACCCAGATCATTAACTGAAGCTGTACAAAGTGAAGCAGAGGCAATGAAGCTCCCTCTGCCCTGTGTGTTGGACCAGCTTCTTGTGTAGCTCCTGGTGGAGGCATTTGCATACAACACAAACATACAGTAAACACTGGTGAAACCCTACTGAAAGGATTCAGATCATTTAAAAAACATAATAGATTTAGCGAGAATTTAGTTTCTTCATGTTCAACCTGTACATGTTTGACTTTAGTCCCGATGTTGCTAGTGTTTATGGAGTATAACTCCAACATCAGCGCAGCAGTGAACATGTAAGCGCAGTGTCGTGTAAAATGCTGCTTCAACACAAACTGCATCTCGAGGGGAAACAACCCGGGAGACCTGCAGCAAACACAGAGGAGGAGCACAGCAACACACAACAAAGTCCCAATGAAGCTTTAGGAAATTCATCTACAAATTTCAACGTAGTACTCTAAATCCATCTTTAGTCTGCTGTAAATCTATATTAAGCACAGCGTGTCCCTGGGTTAATAATGAGTCTCTGGGCGGGAATGAGAGGACATGATGATCAACAGTTGGCACAGGAGGCTGATCGCAGCAGGCGGTGCTGTTGTGGCAGAGCTGTGAGAGCGTGCCCAGCACCTGGCTGCCACCCTGAGGGGAGCTGGCAGATGGCTCTGACGCTGGGGTGGGCATCCTCATATACTGAGCACGACTAAGCCTGACTCCCTGGGTCGGCAGGTGAGGACAGGAGTGCCAAACAGAGGGGTCCAATGGACGGGGCTGGAGAGGGCGACAAGGGTCACAACATGCCCCAGGCAGACAGATGTTTCAGCTCATTAGAGCTTATCAAGCCGGTCTGCATATTCCACTGAACAACTGAATTATTTATGTCTGCATCTTTCTGTAACCTGTCTCTCACCCGTTTTAATATGTTCTGGCTACATGCTACGATGTATAGGCACGGCTCATGCTAAACACTGCAGATTGCGTCGGTGCATCTATATGTTCTGCCAGGCTGAGCACTGTTTAGAAACCGAATGCCAAAAGTGTCATTTACACGCAGCCTGATGTGTGCTTATCCATTGGGACCTTTGAGCTTAAAATGTCATTGGCCGAGGCTCCTCTGAGCCCACACAAAGGTCACCAGTGACACCGACTCCTGAGCTCCTTATTGATTACCCATCTACCATCATAATGCCTGACAATTACAGACGCAACGGAAATTGTAATCATGGAAACAGTGGGAAGATGTATCTAGAATCGTAATGCTACGCAAATACATGTATAATTCAATCTAAGGTCACGGATTCCCCCGTGTGTTGGTGGACACGTTTCCTACTATATCAATATTAAACATCCTCGGTTAATTCAAGACATATTTTGAATGTGTAAAAATAGAGATGCACAAATCTTACAAAAAGGGGAATGATAGATAAAGTGTTAAACCTTTCAGTGACACAGTTAAACCTAATCCTAACCCTGCTTTTAAATTGGAGTCGGCACAAATGTAGCTATAAGTATACATTTTAAATATTTCAGGAGCTCTAGGTAATTCAATGCCGGCATCAGACTGGCACATATTTGTTTTTAAATACTGACACAAAACTGATGACATTTTAATAACTTAATAAATCAATGAATAAAAACAAACGGAGAAATGTGCAGTATGGAGAGGCTGAGTATGAAGTGGCCTGTTGCCTGCCTGAGCACAGATGGCGGCAGAGCAGGATGTACCGACCTGTACTTTTGCCCACAGGCGCGTGCACATATGCACACACACACATTCATATATACAGAATATCACATATGCATGGATGCATATGTAAATACTGCCCTCATACATAGACACCCACATACAGTAGGTGATGCTCAGCCAAGTTAAGAGCTTATTGTTCAGCATAGGAACTGCAGATAGACATATTGGTCATTTAGGAAGGTGTCACACTTGTTTATATAAAGATCAGGAATCGAAACCTAAACATACTCTTAATATCTGTAATAAAAACAGCTTCTGTCCCTTTTTAACGGTAATGCAAGACATCCAGACATGTCGATCAAAGACTGACTGCAATTCACAGAGACATCCAAGGCCAAGCAGGATAATTAGTGCACTGAGCGATCAATACTGCTTGCGTGGGGGTTGAATGCAGAGGGAAAAAAGCAATCTAAGGTACATTTTGGAGAGAAATGCTAAGGAAAGCAAAATCCAAACAGGCGGAATATATTACAATGTGAGAGATTTGCATCAGTGGGAAGGATTGCACTCACGGTACGTACTGTAATGAGGACATACCAGGAGCAGGATGTCCTGCTTTTAAGATCCATATTAAAACCACTAATATTCATAATTTATATTTTAAAGAGAGAGGTACAGAGTATATTGATCACTAACAAAAGCCATTGAGAGATCCTCAGTGAGCATACAGACAAGTGGTAAAGACTGGAGACAAATGGCAAGGCGTAAAGACAGGAAGACGGATATATAGGTAGATGAATGAAGGCGAGGGTTCAGCGTATCGATCGACAGAGGAAGAGTAGAGCTCCCCCGGGGGCCGAGGGGCCTTTTTAGCACAGTGTGAGAAGAGAGGGATGACATGTTTCCTTTTTGAGGTGTTGAGGGACCGCTTGCCATCATGGCAAAGATGGAAAGATGCATGTGAGGAGAGTGTGTGGCCGTGGCGCTCTTTGGCGTGACAGACGGTGATAGCGAGTGACAAACCGAGTGCTCTGAGAGAGGAGAGGAAGACATACTGGAGTCCAGCTCCCCGCCATGACTCTGGGACGTCAGCCATGCCCTGCCCCTCCTTGCTCAGATACAGCCATCAAGAGGAACACAGAGCTTTTGATTTGATCTGGATGCTTTTTTGATACATTATCCCGTCGTCTTTCTGGAAGCACTTCAGGAGGAAACCCAATTTAAGAGGGCCAAAAAGAGCAGAACAAGCATACCTGAAGTCAGCTCTGTGCAGCGAGGTGTGGAGGAGGAAGGCGGGAGGGCGGAAAAATACTGGGGTCACAGCCAATCCTGCTGCTTGTGGGGTGGAGAGCATCATCCTTTAAAACAAAATGACAGAAAAAACATTATTAGTATTAAGAATTATTTATTATTAAGAATTTTACTATGCAGAATATTGTTTCAAAATGAAACAAAGAAAATCTTCAGATGTTACTTCTGGTTTATGAATACATATCTATTTGCATTAAATTGAGTGATGGAATAATGGCTTCTGTGGAAATAGAGAATTGCTCCTCGATTTCCTCGAGTAATACGAATTTGTAATGGCTTCCCCCACTGACAAAAAGGCATAAATGAAAACATGATGTGGGCGTGGACGGCCATCTCTGCTGCAGATTAAGGTTCTGACACTCTGCTAGGAAATACATTTGAGTGAACAAAATAAATAAAACATTGAGTTGTACCATTTGCACCTTGGCAACCGCTCTACTATTATTAGAAGACCGGTAGGTGCAGGAAACGTAGAGATGGAAAAGCTCCAACTGTGTCCAGACAGGCCAGACTCAAACGCATAACACAGTCTGAAAAATGATACCAGGCTCTATATAAGACTTTAGACTCACTCCTTATTCAGTTTTTCTTTTTTTATCAGAGAAAAAGAGAGAACAAACATGTATTAATACGAAATAAGAGTAAACATCCAGTCCAGAGTATTGGGAATGAAACCACTTGAAAAGCATCTCCTGTTCTTTTCAATATAACTCTGCGTACAGTTTGACCCTTAAAATAAATAGACTTTCACAAAAATGCTTATTTCCTTTTTTTGCATAAGACCATTTTGTTTTTACCTAAAATGAAGCTACAGATAGCAGCCTGTTAGCTTGTCTTAGCATAAGGTCTGGAAACAGCAAGCCATACAGTAGGTCAATCCAAATGTAACAAAATCCACCTCGAGCAAATCTGTAGCTCGCTAATTAATACCTGTTATCTACCATGTTTATTATGTGCGAAAATGTAAAAACGATAAGTTGTGCTTTTTGTGATGTTACGTAGATTTTTTGGCTAGAAGCAGTGACTTCCTGAAGTTTTGTCATCATCGTGAGGTTATCAAGAAACCTCTAGTAAGTCACTGCTCACATCCAAGAAAAATGTTGGTCCACCCTGTTTCCAGTCTCAATGCTAAAGCTAAGCTAAATAGTTGCTGGTTTAGCTTCATATTTGGCGTACAACATGAGCGAAGCAATCTTATTATCTCAGTAAAGAAAAGGTCAAAGGTCAAACTATTCCTAAAAATATGATTAGAAATGACCACAACATAAAAGAGGGCCTTGGTGCAGAAATGTCACTTTAACAGATGCATTATTATTAAAGGCGGTTCCTTCCAAAACTTAATCACGCCCACATTGCATTCACATATTCAAGCCTTTTAGCTTGCAGTGCACAGGACAGTTGTCCATTGTCTCCCTTAATTGATGTCAGAGCCCCGAGGTGCATTAGTGCTCTGCAGGATGTGCGCACGCTGGTGTGCATTTGCTCCTCTCTAGAAGCACCGGCCTCGCCCACCAGCTGCACAGCCAGAGCATATTGATTTTACTGCTCATGGAGGCAGAATAAAAGCTGGGGGGGATATTTTTTCTGACTGACCTGTTTGAGTGATATTAAGGAACAATCATGGATGCACTGGGCAGAATATCTAGTGTAGAGCGATCTTCATCGGGGTTAACCATAGTCTGCAGGAGAACCTAAAAGCACGATTTATTGAGCAGGAAGGACGGTAGAGAGCGGGCACATCACAAATCCCTCACACAGCCCAATCTGCAAACATAGCACATCTCTAATGGTCAGTTTAAGTTATGCAGTATCACATGCGCGCATTTAAAATCATGCTATTCAATACCACCTGGTGTGCACAAGATCAATGAAGAGATTCAGCTAATATCAAATTCTCACTTTGCTTGATTAAGTTAGCATCTTTTTCATCTCGCAGGCACAGAGCTGTTAAAATAAAAAAATAAAAAAATGAGATCTTATCAGATATTCAAAGATCTAATTAAAGCCAAACGATTTGTCCACATTATAATTGCTCCAATCCAGTAAACCCCTCCTCACGTCTCACTGGATATTCATCACCACCAGAGGATTTAATTCATTTATCAGCAAAACGAAGGGGAAATGTGAGGATGATAATAAATATATAAACCAGCTGATGTTGGATGGGGGAAAGTGAGTTCACACCCAGGGAAGGTTGTGCAGTATATGTGGTTAAAGGGAGGAAACAGGCACAATGGGCACAGCAATGTTACTGCCACAGTGGGGCAGTAGTCCATTAAACTACAACCCAGTTCTGTAGTATGAAATCTCTCTAGCAGCAGCAGTCACTGCTTTATTCACCTAGTGAGGAATAGTGTTGAAGGTTAGTGAGGCTATCATCTGTAGATAGGAGAAAAAAAACAGAGGACTTCACAAACAGTGATTACGGCTCAGAGCTCTCAAGAGGGTCCTCCATTAACAACGCTGCACAAATCAATGTTTACGACCCCCATAAAAAAACTGCAAACTAGAAAGCCCCCAAAGCTCAAATCATCCATCAAATCTGTTCTTTACACACCATATTCAACCAGATGCAGTCCACTAGCCCTTTATCTTCCTGCTGCAACTAACCCTGCATTTTAGTTACAATAATGACAAATAAAATAACATGTGTAGTAGTAAAACGAGCCCTTCCAACATCATAGAAATGAATAATAATAATAATAATAATAATAATAATAATAATGCATATGATTGAGGTCCTTTACCCTGGGTAATTAATCAGCTTGACTTACTTTCCTTTTAAAAGTAGCACAGTTAGAATAATAATTAAATGTGATGTTCTATAGAACCATATTTGCCATCCTACATGGTAGAAAAATTGAGAAATGTTAGTTATTTTAGTTTTAAGATTGTGGGTTTGGTTATTCATTTTGTATGCAATTATTTTTAGTCTGATAAAGATGGAGATTATGTTTTGGGACATCCCAAATAAAACAAAATCTATTTTTGCACACGTAATCTTAATAAAAATAGCTTACAGTAAAACTAAATAAAGGAATATTAACATATCAGACATCTTTATCAGCTTTTCTTTCTGTAATATTTTAAGGTAGCACTGAGTACATCAAATCTCCCAATTATATATTTGAAGATAAGGACTGGATGTTATAAAATAATAAGAGTTGAAATAAATGATTAATACAAATACAGCAGTTGGATATTTGAAGAAAAGGCAACAGAGATTGTAATGGGATAGGCATAGTTACACAGGAAAGGGTAAAGAAAGCATGGATTATTCATGTCTATTCCCACAGTGCAACAGCTCCTTTTTGATGGATTGTGCCCGGGGCGCTGCTCCCTGTTCAATACCAACAGTCCCAGGCAGCCCAGCCTCACGCTGCTCCACGCAGCCGCCATGATGAGCTCCCCCAGAAACACAGACAGGGCCAGCGGCTGCGCTCTCCTCTCTGAACGCACACATAACGATGGTGTGTGGTCTGAGGTGAACCTACATTTAAATTAGAGTATCACGAGGAGGGTAGAGGAGCAGAGAAGTAGCAGGAGACAAGCTGCTGCTGGCGTTTGACTGAGCTTATTTTTAGTTTAACTGGAGCGAGGAGGTAATATAGATATGTTGTACCAATTAAATGACAGGTAGAGGTGCAGTGAAATGTTGGCAAATACATTGTCACCTTCAGTACAGTGCAGTAACACAGTACTGAACATATTCTCCGAACCAGTTTGTCATCCAGAAAGAGATGTTGGAGCGTGTGTCTTTGTGTGGATGTGTGAGCTCACCTGGACTGGCTCCAATTTGGAGTTGTGTAAAGACTGCAGGGGTGTTAATGCAAGAAGCAGGAGGTGATGCTCCCAATGTCAGCCATCACTGCAAATAGAAACACAGATAGACAATTTTTTTTTCATTATTCATTCAGATCTTTTGCATAGATAGTGTTACAGCTCCTTTTTGTTGTTGTTTTAAATGTCTGTATGTCTGTTAGTCATGTTCTGCAGTATAACCTCCAACGCAATAGACAGTTCATTGAGTTTTTAATTCAAGCATAGAAAATGAAGGAAAGAAATTGAGAAATCCTTTTCTTCCCTGCCTCCCCCAGTCTGCAGCGCTGAAATAGCTTTCCTCCTCCATGAGCTCTGAACTGAGGATGAACCTGAGATTTTTTTCCCACTTCCATCTAAAAGAGGCCTTTCAGTAGACAGCAGGAGTCGTTGCCAAACATTTCTTGGCAGAGGATTTAAAAGATGTTCAATATAAAGAAATGCAACATGATGTGGGTCATTCTCAATAACAAATATTGCCTGAAGCCATCAACATCCCAGACAGCAAGTGATAGTGCAGACTGTCAGGCCTGCTGAGAAACTGAGTAATCCTGAGATTTCACATTTTCAATAAATTCCATGCTATCTCCTAGCAATCAGCTGGTGACGATGGACAGCAAATGATGTCCTGTAATGGTCAACTAACCATTTAAAATACCTTAGCAACAGTTAAAATCCTTCACTCGGCGGACTTGAACATCAACCCGTGACTTTGCCGTCCTCCAATGAGCTCGCTTCACTGCAGAGGGGAGGAGGCGGCCGTAGGCAAATACAGCAGGAACCTGAACAAAGGGAAGAGGCTTCAGAAACATTGTTAGACCATCAGTATTCCCTCCACATCCACTGCTATCACTCTGCACACTCATTCAGAGCCTTATTTAGCCTTGTGTGTAATTATGCTGTCACTTAACAGGCAGACACCGAGCCCCATGTATACGCAGACCCATGCACGACAATTATCATCAAATGAGCCGGTTTGCACATAAAAGCAATGCAATTTTTTACACAGATATGCACATGTTTCTGTCAATACTCCCCACAAACTAGTGGAAAATATAATGCATTAACATCCAGAAAGAGACCAGTCAAGTGCAACAGTTTCTCAAAAGGCATACGCCTACATTTTCACCTCCAAATTAATGTCTTCCTCAGCAACAGAGGGACTTCAGAGACATGCATTTCGATATGTTTCCTTTTCTTGATGTTGGGACTTCAGTCAGTACTTGAAAGGTTAGCTGTACGGAACGCAGGGATAGGGAACCCACATTTCCTAAATATTCTGCAAAACTTCTTCAGCGGGAGAAAAATGTGCATCATTGCACCTTAAAAGAGCTCTTTAATTCACTTTGAGTCAGTTACAGTAGTGTGAAATTGAAAGATTACAGCACAAAAAATACATCTAAAGCACTAAAAGGCATTACATCTTT